ACCCCTCGCTGCCGGGGCGGCTCCGAGGCCTGGGGGGCTTGGGGTCCCGTCCCCGGAGGGGTGAGGCCTACTTGGTGCCCCTGGAGAAGGGTGGCATCCTTTGCTCTTGGCTGGGCTTGGTGTCGGTGTCGCGTCTCGCCAGGGAGGTGCTGGGAGGTACAAACTGCTGACGAGGTCTGGCTTTATTTTTTTTTGTTGTGGGGTTTGATTAATTTTAGTAACTTTGGTAGTAAATAGCAACAGCTCATTTTTGTTTTAGTATATATATCGCTACCATGAAGTGTCATGGTAAGGCTTAATATAGTTTAACCCATAACAACAAGTCTGCAAGAGGAACAGCAAAGAGAAAATGCCGAGCTGCTTGCCTCCCTGAAAGGGCAAGACCAAGTCTTCCCCCGAAAGTTCTGCTCAAAACTCTCCCTCTTCCAGTGTCGGTGCCTGATTTCCATGGTATTGTGATGCCCAAGCTGGGGATGCCATGCCAGGGGAGAAGCTCGGAGCTGCCGAGCCCTGCAGACCAGGGACACAACACCACTGTCATGAGCACACTGCGTGGAGGGCTGCTGCGGGAGTGTGGCAGCGAATCTGCGTTTCCTGCACCAAAGCTCCAGTGGGCAGTTCCCCACTGGGTACCCAGGTGTTGTGTAGGACCCTATGACAAACATGAAACTTAATCTCAAGGCAAATCTGTGCTTTCTTGAGCAGATACCCTCGTTGATAGTTGCAGGATAGCTGGAAGTCAAGGTGTCTGCAAGGAAAAGTAAAATTCCCTGCATTTGGTCAAAAACTACTGTTTAAAGCACCAAGCACTTGCCTGCCTTGGCGGTGTGCATCCCTGAGAGAAGGGAGCCTGGTTCCTGGTTGCTTTTAACAGCATCATATGAGAGATGAACTCTGGCATTAGAGGGTAACCACAGTGCCTTTGGCTGTGGTGGTGTAGGCAGGGGCAAGGCCACAGGGTTGGGAGGAGTTCCTGGGGAGCAGGTTCATTCCTCAGTGGCCGGGATGACGGGAAACACTGCGATCCCTCACCGGTGTTACAAGTGCAGGGACACAACATGATACTGTACAGCAAGTGCCCTTCTCTTTGTTCCTTGCCTTGTGTTTTTCAGACATAGCTGGTCACGTTCCAGCATTTTGAAGGCCGTGGTCGTTTAGGCGGGTAACAAAGTTGAGATCCTTCATTTAAAGCACTAGATGTACTTGTTCATGTGCAGCTTTGGAGCCCCGGGATTAAGCAAGAAAGTTTTAACTGCCCTGAAAGAGCTGAAGCCTCAGAACAGCTTGGTTGGGCATTGCTGGGGCTAGCGGGGGAGGGAGGGAGTCCTGGGGTGATGGTGGAGGGAGCATGCCGTAGGATGAGTGGTGGACAGATCCCATGTCTGCCTGAGGTGCGCCAGCCTGCTGCTCTGTCCCTGTCAACTCGGGGTCTGCCCTGGCTGAGCATCGCCTTCCCCTCTGTGCCCCAGAAGTTCTCTGGGTTCACCGCTGACTGCGTACGGTCCTTTGTAGGTGCTGATGGAGGTTGGTGGCTTGCCAGTGGAGCTGTGGCAGCTCATCTTCTCCTACCTGCGCCTCCCTGACCTGGGACATTGCAGCTTGGTCTGCAGGGCCTGGCACGAGCTGGTCCTCAGCCTGGACAAAACGCGCTGGCGGCAGCTCTGCCTGGGCTGCCTCAAGCACAGACACCCCAACTGGCCCAACCAGCCCGGCGTGGAGCCACCATCCTGGAGAGAGGCCTTCAAACAGCACTACCTGGCCTCCAAAACCTGGACCAAAACCACGCAGGACCTGGAGCCCTCCAACTGCCTCTCTCTCTTCCGGAGGAGGAAGGGCCGGCGACGGCTTTGTGTGGGCACGGGTGGCGAGTTCGGCAGCCTCCGGGCCGCCCTGGCCGCCGCCAGCCCCTACGACCGCCTTGTGCTGCTGCCCGGCGTGCACGAGGAGCAGAGCGAGGTGCTGCTGAAAGTGCCTGTGGAGGTTGTGGGGCAGGGCAAGCTGGGTGACGTGGCACTGCTGGTGAGCATCGACCAGCACTGCCCCACCGCCCGCCTCTGCAACGTGGTCTTCATGCCATCCCGCTTCACCTCGGTGCTCTACAAGGTAAGGCTCAGCGGAGCGAGGGCGGTGGGGATGGCAAGGCCGCCTGGGTGTCACAACCAAGGGGGGTCCCCGGTCCATGGGCGTCTGGGGAGTGCGACCAGGGGTTTGTGGGACTGTCTAATACATGGTGGCTCAGGGGCTTTGTCCCCTGAATGTTTCTACTTCATTACTGATTGCCATAAATTTCATACAAATCACCACTAGCAAGGATGCCTCTGATTAATAAAGCATGTATATATATGTATGTGTATGTATCGTGCTATTAGAAGTTGCTATCAGCAATCGATAATACAGTATCAATCAACAGTATGGCAGCAATCAGTAACTGTACAGCAACAACCCATATCAGTGCAACAAGGAAAGCAGAAGGTAAACAGTATTGCAGGTTACTGCAGGGTTACCACCAGTGCCAAGCAGACGAGCTTATGATGGATTACTGATGTGTATATATAATACAGGTATCGAGAGAATTAGATTTCAGAAGGGGCCAAACCATCTGTCACAGGTGAATTATTGAGAGGTCATCATTGTGGGGTAATCTAAGGGTTTCATTAATGGTTAAACGATGATCAAATGATAATGGTTGAATAATAATTAAATGGTAATCAAATGGTTATTAAGTGATAGTTGAATGAAACACTGATTTGACAATGATTTGACACTGATTTAAACAAAGATTTAAATGATAATTTAGATGGTGGTTGAACACTCTGCTACTTGCTACACTTCTAATAATTCAGCTATAGCTGGGTATATAAAAGTCACTAGCATACAGTGTACTTTTAGGCCTAATGTAAAATGTTGCTGACCTCCTTATGGGTGTCGGATGCCAGGTGTGCAGTCTCTTAGCCTCAAGGAGTAACCTTGAGCAGTGTCCCTGCTCTGGGGAGACCTCCGTCGTGCAGCCCACTGCCATGCAGGAGAGTTTAATGGGCTCAGGGGGCTGCAGGTATTGATGGTGTAAAGTCAGCCCCCCCACC